CCTCCCCTGGGGCCTGAGGGGGGCCCAGCTGGGGGGTGGCTGTTCCGGTCCCTGCTTAGGAAGATGGAGGCAAAGACATCATTAAATATGTTGGCTTTATCGTCTGGTGTGACGACCAAATTTCCTAACATGTCCTGCAGGGGCCCCACGTTACCCGTAACCTCCTTTTTACCCCCTATGTATTTAAAGAAGGACTTCTTATTGTCCTTCTTTAAATACCCAGTCCCTGTCCCCACAGCCTCCTGCCCTCAGCAGCCCCCACCCTGCCCCAGCCATTACCTTGTGTCCCAGCTGGGAGGCCTCAGCCCTGGCAGCACCAGCCATGGGCTCGATGAGGTTGCTGATCTCCTGAACGGCTGTGATCATCTGGTTGTGCAATGCCTGGTGGGGAGAGGGGCTGTCAAGGGGGGCAGCTGCAGGGCCCGGCGTCACTGAGTCCTGCTGGGAGTGGGGTGCAGGCAGGGGGAGCTGCCTGCTGGGAGGGGGTAGGAAACACCAGGCTGTCCTGGACCAGCTGGGCTGTGGGACACGTAGTCAGGACCCAGCCAGGGGCTTGTCTACACTCACACCAGGGTGTCAGGGTCTGTCCAGAGAGGCACCCCCATGCTGCCCACATGAGAGCACAGCTCCGTGAGGACATGGGGGTCACCAGGACAGGGACTGAAGGAGACCAGCAGGTTCCCCCCAAAGGACACCCAGGCACCAGGGCTGGAGTCAGCAGAGCAGGATGGGGTGGCAGCAGGACCAGAGGGACAGAGACACGTGGGCACAGAGCATGGCTGCACGGGGCTTGGCCACGAGTCACAGACATCACAGGGCAGGGCTGGCAGAGCTCACATCTAGTCCAAGCCCTGCCTGAGGCACGATCAGCCCTGTCCAAGCCATCCTGAAGATATCCATCATCTAAACTCTTCCTCAGACTCTCATCAACCCTGATGCAGCACAGTCCTAACACTCGCCCCTGCCACAGGGAAAGCAGGGAGTTGCGGGGGGCCAGCATCCTGCTGCTGCAAAGGAGGTTAATACACACCTGAGACCCCCCCAGGCAGGGCGTGGCCGTTGCACAGGAAGACAAACCCCCCAGTCCACACCAGTCTGAGCAGGGGGGAAATCCCTTCCTGCCCCACTGCAGCGTCAGTCTGAGCCTGAGCACAGAGGCAGGCCCCTCAAGCCATAACACTGAGGGGTTGGTCCCACAGCAGCATTAGCACAGCCCAGTCCCCATCTTCAGCCTACACTGCAGCAATACCCAGCATCTCTGTGCTAAGAGGCTTAAAACCCTCTGACATGTAGCAGAAAGGGGAAAAAATTCCCTCCTGTCCCCATGGGACAGCCAGAGCTGAAGCCTGGGAAACCCCCACAGCAGAGCACGGGTATTGCTTTG